TATAATATTACTGAAACATTATGTTCCCTATCGCAGTCACCAGATCGAGTATCGTGCATAAACTTAGGCATGTTAGTTTTTTTTCACCGATTGACCTTCGTAGAAAAAAACATTTCCCTTCAGTCGACCGGAAAACGGTCTATCCACTCTATCCACTGTCCCATCTTCATGAGCAATAAGTGGTTTATAATTTGTCGGCTGAACATTCGTCCGATATATTTTCCTGTAATATATGATATTATCTTTGACTCAAAATACGCAAGTGACTCTAAGTAATTTCAGTTACTTTTGATGGAGGCGTAAATTAATAACTTTTAATCAAATGAATTTGTACACACACATACACACTATTTATTTAATGAAATCAAAAAAACTAATTAGACAAAATGTAATTTGACTTGTCATATTAAATTATTACTGACAGACGAGTTAAAAAAAATAAAACAACCGTTTTGCGGAGCCTTTTTTTTTTGTTTATATAGTTTTGTTGGTTTCATGATTCGTATGTTTATAGATTTATAATATTTGTCTCCGTCGTCGTAGCGGCGCTTACTTTTAATTTCCGATATTTAATGCAAACGTTTGCTATACATTATTTATACATAACTATACTATATTATTATATCGTCATCACAATGTTGTCGGCGCATTAAGACGATAATGATAATTTATATATATAATATTATTGTTACTATAATCCCCGATGGCCGGTTCACTAATAATTGCGCGTTTCCAACGAGATTTTTCGCCGGCGAGACTATGATGCCACAGATGTCCTTTATACAGTATACATACATAATTTATTATTACGACGTTATTATTATTAGACCGCACGCGACCAAACTCGTAACAACACGACGCCTCTTTATTATACTTGCATTCCCAGACGGCAAAAACGTAATAATAACACGCGCGATAAAATTAATCTGCGAAATCGCTGTTTTTATATCATGCACCTATTATGAAATTGAGTAATAACAATATAATTGACAATTTTTCTATGTATAGTGTTAAATTTAACCCAATAAAAGAAATATCATGACGTGTATACTTGATTACTACGCTCACCGCTTACCCTTACCGTCAGAGGTGGATTTAAGAAACTGCGAACTATGCAGCCGCATAGGACGGCTTTTTATATGCAGCAAAATTGTATTTATTTTGTTTTTGTATAGAAAAATACTTAATTTTTTTCATGAATTTTTCAATTTTTTAAATAAATAATTAGCATTAAAACTACTTATATAACCAAATAATTATTTAATCAATTTATTATTTTTTTTCTTGTATAATAAAAATAAAGAGAAAATATTATATTTTAATTAAAACATTTTTTATTGAACTTTAATTTGATGAAAAAATAATTGCATAATACATAGAAAATTGTATTATGTAAGGCAATTTTGTTGTACAATAAGAGAGGCAAATTGTTAAATCCGCCCCTGCTTACCGTATTAGCGTACAATGTCGACCATACACGTTTATTATTACAACACATTATATTAATATGTGAGAACTAAAAATTTACTTATACGAAAGTGAATATTAACCACAAGTAGGTATATTTACAATAATATATGCATATGACTATGAGAGCGTTCGTAATGGACAGGAAAATCTTTTAGATGAGAAAAACGAAGCCTATTAAGATTTTTACGGAGAAAACAATTAGTGGTCTTGTACGCGTCTGTGAGACAATTTTAGATAAATCATAATTATTATTTACTACAGTGTAGAGTGCAGACGTATGTACTTCCGAATTGGAAGTAATTGAGTTTTGAATTTTTCAAGATTTCTGTGCGAAAAATCACAAATGTGTTCACGCCTCCATCTCACCACCTTTCCTCTCTAAATCAACAGATATTTGATAAATATTCTTTTAGGTCTACTGCAGTCTGCAGATGATAAGGGGAAAAATAGTATTCAAACCTACAAACATGTATATATATATATATGTATGTATTTTAATTTAAAAATGACATTTTCGTTTCATTTTTCTTCATTTCGTTTTGTAGGATTTTTTCTTTTTTAATAAAACAAGCGCTAAAAAACGCGTATAAAAACACGTGAAAAATTGAATTTGTACTGGTATAAGGTATACCTACGAAAAGGAAATTGAATTGAAATATCCGTCTATCGTACCATTTCGGATGAAATATTACTAAACAATATTTTGATTTATGAATACGCATTTATATAATAGGAGTATATATGTGTGTGTGTGTGTGTGTGTGTGTGTGTGTGTGTTTAATTGGAAAGTGTAAGGATACTATAATTTAATCAGTCTCCATTGACAAGTAGATAAAATAAAATAAAACAGAAAAAAACAAAATTATAAAATAATAATAAAAAAAATAATTCGGTCGCTGCGTACGGGAACATGGGAAACGCAGTGTTTTAATTTTTGCGCCATTCAGTGTTTGTTGCATAATATTTTACAGCGATATTTCAATGATAATCGTTAGCGAAACTGCAAAATAACCTGACACGTATCGGTGATATTTGCGATTACAGTTAATAATAAATACAGTCGTAGATAAATTTGTTAAGAACGATATGCGCGGATATGCACCTCGTACATGATAATAACAACATACACATCGCGCCATACTCACATCACACGGGCCACAGCCGACCACCCTGCCGCACATATTTTATTACAAATCATGTACTCGCGGGTTGCAAGGTGTGTGTAAATAATATTATGGCCATGCGTCCCTTGACGCTTGAACAATTTATTAAATTTATTGAATTTTATTTACAAGGGCTTTTAATTTAAATTTTATCCTCCTGGCGTGTGCGAGGACGTATAAAATAATAATTGTACCTATGCGTAACGCACGCATTTACCTATGTATAATATAATAATAATAATATATCGTATCCTACCGTTCGGTCGTGTTTGTCTTGTAAATTTTGTCCACAATTCGCTCACTGGTTTAAATATTTATACATCATACACACCATAGAAAATATAAACTCGGCGACTGCTATAGTAATACGCAACGGCGTCAAGGTGGGAAAAATAATGTGTACAATGTACATATATTTTATATACGTCACGATGGATGAGGTGATGGCGTCGGTGGTAGTGTGAGTTTCATACGTCGTTCGGTTCTTTTCAAATGGTAAAATGCCGAAATAAAATTCACGGCGTTCGAGAGTGTGGAGGAAAAATAAAATAAAAATACCGTACGTTCCACGATATATAATATCTGCGATGGAAATATGCGGAGCAAAATGTTTCGTACAAAATATAAAATGCTTCCAACCATCTCTGCCGCAGGTATATACTATATTATATAATACGTATAAAATATATAAATATATATATATACATTATACATACACGCGTAACATATATTATACATATAAGCTACAGCAACCCACAGCTGACGAGGGCACGCCTCTGTCGTCGTCATATGAAAATCATCGGTTTTCGCCTCTGGAGAATACGACGAAGAAAATGTTGTTTCCCGTTCACTCATCGGTGGCGGGACGAGTTTTCATAAAGAGTTCTGCGGGCAGAAGCCTTTTTTAGTTTTTCTGTTTTTGTTTTTATACCAAGCCCGTAAGACTATAATTCAATAATAAACCACTATCCTTTGGACGAAATGGACGATGACGATAACGATAACGTAGAAATTCAGCCAAAAGCGAAACGATACGGTTTTTCCCCATTCGTTTTCATATTTTTTTTTCCTCGCTCACTCACCTGACAATATAATTTAGTGACCAATAGAGAAACATCGGCTGTAGGTACGTAAAACAATATAACATGTGCGTGCGCACGCTGAAACGAGGGGTAATAGCTAAAAATCCAAAAACCCTCTGTCGTGCTTTGCGTCACTAAAACTTTGACATTTAATAGTCAGTTTAATCTCGTATATATACGATCTCATTGCAGTCGCAGCCGTCCCAGACTTGGTTCGAGTTCACTGCTTTGCACTTATTCGGTTTCACAGAACTTTGGATTCATTATTCAAATTGATCCCAACTTAAGATACGTTTATATATACAGCGCTTTTTGCATTTATTTAACCTTTATCGGCGCTGGAAACTTTGTTTCGGGTTTTCTGTAACGCGACAGAAAGTGTGTATCGGTCACGAGAGTAAATTACATTAAAATTTGCGTACAAGGAGCTGTCCTTGTTATACATGAGATTATACCTACTACACAAATGAACATATTCGCGACCAGAAAATTAACTCAGATGCTATAATAAATATGTCTCAAACATTAGATACTTATTGCAATATTTAATTATTGTTTTTTTTTTTTTTTTTATATACATGAAAAAAACAAATGCGTTACAAATTATTTTTCTCAATTATTATAATTTTGATTACCTACATCCTGTTTTATTACTAATATTAACTACATAAAATTAACATAAAATATTAAAGTCTTGTCTCACATAATATATTTTAAAAAAACAACACTAATAAATCACATAAACATTATTTTGCACAAAAAAAAAAACTTTTGATAAAAACGATTTAGTTGTAAGTTATAACTATAGTATAATTTATGTATTTTTGTACCTACTTCTTAGTAAGCTTCACGAAATTGCTTATTTAAAAATTATTTAATAATATATGTTCATAACTCGACAGTTAGTAAATATTTTTATAAATAAACAAATTATATTTAAATATAATTCAAGTTCATCGATTTTTGATTTAAAAATAAACGAATGCTGATTATTATCAATAGCACATAACAATTAGTTAATAATAACAGTAAGAATATAATATACCGTGTTCAAATGCCATCACACTATAAACATGAAATATTATGATCAGTCTTTCATTAGTAATGCAACTACTATTAGAGCGGCACTCTGAAAAATATTCTATAGATTACAGTAAAGTTGTATCTCTTATACCTAACCATGAAACGTATTGAACTAAAATGTATTCTAAAATTTAGTTGTTCAAAAAAAAGTTTAGATTTTAAAATACAAAACTTATGATTGAATACTTTATTTTTGTTTCAGAACAATTACGCACAAGCTGCAATAAAACCGTTCCTATTGACATGGCGATGAGATGAGATCCAATGACTTTTGGCCGTTACTGTGGATATGCATATTTCTTTGGTTCCACGCTCATTCTATCCGTAGTCAAACACCAACGCAAACTATAATCACAACATGTCCAGCTCAGATTTCTGATCAGTCGTGTTCTTGTTACGACTTTCAGGACGGCATTTTTCTCGAATGTCCCGGAGCTACTGGAACAGGTGTGCGCAATGCACTGTCCTCTGTATCCGGAGGTTTGATTCAGTCACTGAACATCTACGACCTGGAACCCACCGTCTCTACCTTGTCCGCAGACCTATTTCCTCCAAACACCAAACTCCGACAGCTTCAAATATCCCACTCTAATCTGTCGATAATCACAGAAGATGGGTTGAACAACATTAAAAACTTAGAGTCTTTTGCAATGTTATCGGGTAAACTACGAGAAATACCGCAAAAAACTTTTACCAGTTTGACGCTATTGAAGACAATTGATATTGAATCCAATGATATCGCCGAACTGGGTAGTTATGCATTCTCTGGTTTGCAATTAATCAAAATCAACCTCAAGGGTAACTCAATTCTCAAAATATCAGAATATTCATTTGCTGGTTTAGAAACAAGTCTCACCGAACTTGATCTGTCTGATAATAAGATAAAAACGTTTCCGACGTCCGCCGTCAGACGGTTAGAACGTCTCATGTCCTTAAGAATCGCATGGAACGAAATAGCGTCGATTCACGACGACCGTTATTCATATATGAAAAGTCTAGTGCAGCTAGACCTGAGTTCCAATAATTTTGAATCAGTTCCTGAGGATGCATTCCGTTTATTTCCTAAGCTCAAGATGCTGTCTCTTTACTACAATTCAATTGAAAGCATACACAAACGAGGTTTTAGCACGCTGATCGAACTTGAAACTATCGACATTAGTCGCAACAAAATAGTATTCATGGATTTTAGCACATTCAAATGCAACATTCACTTACGGACTATAGACTTAAGCCATAATCATATTCATTATATTAGCGGTTTGTTTGCTAATCTTCCCGAGCTCAGAGAACTATTTCTTTCTGAAAACAATATACTAGAGATTTCAGGTGACTCGTTTTCCAATTCTCCTAAGTTATCGGTAATATACATTCAGCAAAATGCTATTAGAATAATCGAATCTGGTGCTTTTTCAAGTTCACCCGAACTAATGCAATTGTATTTAAGTGACAATTATATAGAAACCATAGATGCCAATGTATTTTTTCATTGTAATAAACTCACATCATTGAGTTTGGATAACAATCGTATTGCTAAAATCGAAAACGGTGCGTTACGAAACAATTATCAACTCAAAGAACTCAGACTGCAAAATAACAAACTATCAAAAATATTACAAACACAATTCGAAACGTTACCTGAATTGTTGGAATTACATTTACAAAACAACGCAATAATGGAAATTGAACCTGGTGCATTCAAAACGCTCAAAAGTCTACAACATATTAATCTCCAAAACAATGTCCTCACTCATTTAGGTGACGTATTTCTACATGATGCACCATCATTAGTGTCAATACAAATCGATTCTAACGTGTTAGCAAGTTTAAATAACAAGACACTGCATGGTCAATCCAATCTAAAAGTAATGTGGCTGAGTCACAACAAACTAAACAAATTGGATAAATCCCTATTTGCTGACCTATATCAAGTACAAAGGATTTACTTGAACAATAATTCCATTGAGAATATCGAAGTTGGAACATTTGAATCAATGCAAGCGTTGGTATTTCTGGATCTTAGTTTTAATCAGTTGCAAGAAATAACTTCTAAAACATTTGCTGAACTCAGGGGTTTGAATGAACTGCACCTCACGGATAATCGTATATCTCGGATAGACGCAAATTCGTTCGCGGCGCTGAAAAAATTAACGGTTCTTAACTTGTCCAATAATCCGCTTACGAAATTACATAAGTACATGTTTCAAAAAGATTTACCCATTCAAACTTTATATCTCAACAATTGTTCTTTAAGAACCATTGATAACGGAACATTTTCCAACTTGAACGTTCTTAACGAACTTCACCTGAAACAAAACTACTTATTTGCCGATGCGTTACTCCAAGTGGATGTGCCTACGTTGACTGTATTGGACATATCTTACAACAATTTAGATGGTCTTAATTCAACTGTCTTAAAGTATCTACCAAACGTAAAGCACGTGTATTTAGACAATTGTAATATAGGTCAAATTTTTGCCATGACATTCAAATTTAATCTTGAAGTATTTATGATGTCTTTATCGAACAATAAACTGACAGCTCTACCTGCAGATTTGTTCAAAAGACAGACCAATTTAAAAACTCTAATTTTGGATGGGAACGACTTTAACACCATGCCTTATGCTACATTGGCGAATTGTGAAAATCTACAAAAACTATCTGTAGCCAGAAATATGTTAACCGAATTAGATATGACAAAACTGACTAATATGAAAAATCTTCAAAGCCTTTCAATTTCTGAAAACCGAGTTCAAATACTTGCTGGGTTTCCATCTTCATACTTCACGCTTTTAACCGATTTGAATTTGTCAAACAACATACTATCATCATTACCACTAAACTTTTTTCAATCACTAGAACATTTAGATATGTCCAATAATCATTTCAATAAAGTACCTCAGCTTACCAAAAATCTTCAGTTCTTGAATCTTACTAATAACCCATTGGGCCAAATACATGAAACAACAAAACTCATGACAATCGAGCACATTGACTTAGAAGAACTCCACATAAGTGGAACGAATTTATCGGTACTAGCAAGTAATGATTTCTTGTCGCTCACCAATCTTCATCGTTTGTACATATCTAATAATAAAATATCAAAAATATCTCCTGGTACGTTCAGCGTTCTCGAAGAACTACACACGCTTGACTTAAGTAATAATCGTATGGAATTTCTACCCCAAGAAAGACTACAGGGATTATCACATCTCCGGTTGTTGAATTTGTCTCAGAATTCATTAAAAGAAATCGAAGACCTTTCCTCTGACTTGATATCACTGCAGGTGCTCGATATTTCATATAACCAACTGGAAAAAATCAGCAAAGGTTTGTTCCGAAACTTGGAAAGCTTAGCTGAACTATATCTATATGGAAATTGGCTATCATTTATATCTCCAGACGCATTTCGATCGTTAAAAAAACTCAAGATATTAGATTTGGGTAAAAATAATTTCAAAAACTTGCCAATAAATGCTCTTAGACCGTTGGAAACACAAATAAAAAGTTTGCGTACAGAAGGTAAATAAAAAAATTGCTTAAAAATGATTATACTTATAAAAATGTATTAACAAATTGTTAATTTATTGAATTTTATTTTTCAGAAAATCCAATTAACTGTGATTGTGAACAACAAGAGCTATGGGAATGGATAAGAGATCACCAAAAGTTAATGTCCGATCTAAGCACGAAAGGCTTGATCTGCCACCACCCTCCGGAACTCAAGGGCCAACAATTTATAGAACTTGAGCCTCCTGCGTTTTGTGCCATGCCCGTCGTACTCAAACTCGCTATTCAAGACATTCAACCATATTCAATCTTCGTGTCATGGAAAGGTCGAAATCACACGGGCCTTCACGGTTACAGAGTAGCGTATTATCCAATTGAAGATCCGGATTATCCGGCAGCGGCAATTTCATCGGTTGCAGTTATTCCAAATGTAAGTCACTTACTACCCTTAATGATATTTATAACGGTGGTTATCGTGTACGATTTTACAAAAAAAAAACTATTTATTTTTGATTTTGTTTAGATCATGAACAAATTTCTCGATAAAAACACTCAGACTACTCTCTTGGACAACCTTAAACCAGAAACCCGGTACTTGGTATGTGTGTTAGGTTTGGGCAATTGGATACCGATGAACATCTCACACCATCTGCAGAACGATGCTCAAAGTAGTCGTTGTACCGAAGTGAAAACACTAGAAGGTGACATAGCGTATTACTCCGATGAACATCACAAGAGCTCAATACTGACCAGACGGTTAGGTCTAATTATCGGTAGCTGTTTGGGCTGTGTCGTGTTTATAGTGTTGGTATCTGTACTTGGATATCTGAAAATAAAAAAACAAAGAGAAGACACGAAAAGAGAACAACCACTTCCTCCCGAGTATCTATCGTACAGGCATTTTTCTTTGCATACCACTGACCCAATTGTCGCCGCTCCCGCATTGAGTCAAATTGGTCCGATTACTACTGTACATTAAACGACATTTTGTTTTGATATTATTATTATTATTATTATTATTAATATTATTATTGTTATTATTGAGTGGTACTATGATATCATGTTTGATCCCATAGTAAAATGTTAAAAAAAACATACCTATAACATGATGTACCTTAATAAGATTAACATAATAATTAATTACAATGTTAAATCAATAAGTGTTTGTAAATGTAATATAACCATTGTCTTTTTTTTTTCAAACAGATTCAAAAATTATAGCACAATAATTATTGAAACTGTAATGTTTTTGTAAATAAGGTAAATTTGTTCCAATCCATACATAGACCCATTATTACGAAATACCAATAGATCGTATTAATTGTTACATAAATTTCAAAATAGTAATGGTAAATGAAATATAAAATACATGCGTATACGTAATATATAAATAGTATGTACTTGACATGTGCATGTGATACAAGTTCAATATCACAAACAAACTATTGTTAGGGGTGAAAGGTTCGACCGATTTTGTTTTTTTTTTTTTTACGTAAAAAGATATTTTTTTATTTTATCAGTTTACGGTTTTACACAAAATACATCGATGTTATTAGTATAAGTACCAAAATTGTATTCTTACTCCCGTATGTAAAACCATTTTCGATTTCAGAATAGAAAGTCGCGTTCGAAAATGTTTATATTTGCGATAAATCTATTATACGGCAGTTAACGTGCTGTTTATTAATTAAAACTGTTTTCAAGAGCAATGGTAAAAGTGTAGGTGATATAACACAAATATTACTATTATACCAACAGAGATAAGAAACTTTTACCTCCCTGTGGCCTCCTAGTTACCCGACCACCCTTCAAGTCGCCACGTATCCAAACTTAAATAAATGATTACTATCGCTAATCTATTGCTTGATTTACGATTAAAATGTATGTCCGGCATAGTCATTGCTTTGCGTCGTGTGATTTGATCACTACAGACGTATCATTTCGTCATTTAGTATGTAACATCGATTTGCTATTTCCATCAATTAACTGCCAATTTGTTTTTCTTCACGTCAAACTGTGTAAAATTATTCGACCATAGATTGATCTGCTGAAGCCTAAATTTCAGTAAAATCAATTTCATTTTTCGCAAATAAATATAACATTAAAAGATGTAACCATATTGAATGTATTACAATAGAATTTATAAACTAATAACAGGTATTAGTATTTTTTTTTATTTTAGAATTTTAGATTAATTTTAGCTACCGGCAAACCAAAAATTTGATACAGACCCAAAATTATTAACGACAAAACAACAATAAACAAAAATAAACAATAATACTTTCCTTTAAAATTATTTAAAATTATGTTGTCGTGTGCTCAAAATTCATGGTATTTTGAAAATCATATTTTTTTTAAAAAAATATATAGGTAATATAGTATTATACAATTCTTAAACACCAAAGATCATCGGAAATTGCCCATACTTATAAATCACTGCAATCAATATTTAACGTATTCGGTTTTCATCGTGAAATTGAATTAGAGAGATGTATAAGTCCTACGCACGTAATTTTCAATTTAATTTTCTTGTTTATAATTTTATTAGGAAAAAAACGAACAGTAGCATTTCAAAATGATGTTTATTGTTCTGTTTCAGTGTTACTTTCACAATAGAATTGAACGCAGGTAACTCTCTAAATTGTTATGTTTCGTTGGCGAAATATTTTTTTGAAAACAATGAAAAAACGTATTTATTTCTCGTGCCTTGTGCGAAGACCATTCTAAATACATTACCTACGTCATAGCAGTCGAGTTTACAGAAAGGTTAATTTGTCCAAAATTAACCCCGTTATTATAGAAAATACTTATTAGTATCGTATTATAGCACGCAAAGTCGTTTGTTGTCCCGAAAACGTTTAATGACTTATTTGTATCACTGCCTGATTTATGAAGGCTGTCAGTGTTTCAACTACCGTGCAACGTTTTAATGTTTTGCTGGTTTCCATATAGTCATCCGGTCACAAATGAGACGCTTTGTGTGTACATTACATTTTGAGAAAATTAGCTTGAAAATCAGTTGAACTATGTTATATAAGTACCTAGAAACTGCGTTTATACCTCCGTCGTATTTAATATTATATTGATAGTTATACCGTGTTGTTAATAATTATTATTATTGATTATAATGATGTGTAATAAGGCCACGCAACATTAAATTGTATACCATAATATTATATTTATATAATTTTTATTATAAATACCGAAAATCGATTGAATCAAATCGTGAAATTTATACGTTTTGTTTGTTCGTTAAAATATTATTAACTATTGTGTTATGTATTGTTTACAGATAAACTACTAGGTTAAACATATTATATATACATATATAACCTATACCTATACTTGTTTACAATAATATATTATGTTATACATCCTTACCTATAACTGTTTTCAGTTTTTATATTATTTATTTATTCTTTGTTTTTTTTTTTGTTTTTGCAAACGTGATTTATAATGATATGTGTATTGATAATAAATCTTTTTTTTTATTGTAATTATCATTGTTTTTCGCCTAATGACAATTTTTGTCGTTTCACTAAATAAATATACAAAATATAAGAATTGGTTATTCCAAATGTCCGTAAGAACTGCACCAGAATAATTATGATTTAAGTTGTAAATTGAATGCGCTAAGAAATTTATAAATTCATCAATCTCGAAAAATCGGCGTAAAATTCACATTAAATATACTCATGAATCATGATTTAAAAACATGATTAAGTTAATAACGTGCAAAATATTCATAAGAAGTACCTAAATATATTCATAAAATCTGTGTGAAAAGTGTTAAAATATCAAGAAAAAAAGTAATAAAAACAAATAAACGGACTAAAAGGACGATAGATATCAAAAATATCACAAGGTATAAGATAAATGTTTCGAAAAGTAATTTATTAATACCTATAGATAACCTAGTTCGAACTTTGTGGTAAGGAAGTATAGAATCTATTATGATTGAATTAACGCGATCGCGCACGGACAAGACTCGAACGGGCTGCACGAAAACAGTGTATCTTAACGTACGGCTAGAGAAAAACGCAAAAGTGCTGAAAAGATTTTCAAGCAACGTACCTATATCTGCACAATCGCAGGTTTCTATTCGCGTTTACGTCCGCCATGGTCGCAAGATACGATCAAAAGTTTTTACGAGTTGTGACGGTGATTTCAATTTGTGACGCGCGTGCCACACGCGCGCACACACATACATATATAATATATATGTACATGTGTATATATTTATGTATACATATAAATACGTATAGGTTATAATACCTACTGTACAGATTGTTTTTTTTTTTTTTTTTTGTCATATTTTTTTCCGCTCCTGTCCCCGAAACAGACCCAAACTCCGCTGTATACGTGCATAATACATATTATTATTATTTTACTGTTTTAGTACGCTTATATAATACGATATGCCCCCGCGAGCTGCACGTGTGTTTGAATAATAATAATAATAACAACGATATTATGTACTGAGAGCGACTCACGGACGGACGTGCGCGTGTAATCGCCATCGGCCGATTATAGTAATATCATACAACCGAACGTGAGTGAAATTAATTATCGCGAGCCACAACGGAAAGTGGAAAAAGAAAAAGAAAACATAAAAAAAAAAAAAAAAAAGTAGGGTAGAATTTGAGGGGCGAGCGGGTTTGTGTAGTAGTATTGTTTTGCTCTCGCCCGCCACCCGACCCAGCCCGGCGAAATATTTTAATATTCGGACGCACGCGCCTCCTGTTATAGGTATAATAATCTATGTGTATCAGTGACATAGGTGACCCAGACCCTACGAAATATAAAATTTAAATTAAACGACAGATTATTTATATTTTATTTTTATTTAATTTTTAATTTCTTTTCTTTTTTTTTTCCAATAATTAATTAATATTTGATCGTTCTTTAAAAATATATTTATGTTCCTCGACACGTTTTGATACTTATGTTTTGTACTAATGTCCAATTAACTGGCTTAATTTTATAATTCAATGTTTATTTTTAGATAAATATATAGTAGGATGATTTTTTATTTATAATTACATTTTTAGAGTCCTCAAGTGAGATTATACGCCATGGTTCCCTACAATTCTAGTTACGCCGCTCAAACACTAAATATAATAATAGCTGATAACTATAAGCCCGGTAATACGTTATTTTTAACAACCCGGTAACGATGTAATTTCAATTAAAAATTGTAATATTATTATTGTCATGACGTTTCGACTCAAAAGAGTTACTGCACAGTCAAACACTTCGGCCTGATGTGTTGAGTTAATGTTTTTTAACTGTAATATCCCTTATTCATTATGATACGGGTCACTGCACTTAGTATAAACTCAGTATTTAATGTGTCGCTTTTTTTGTTGTAATATTTCATTTAAAAATGTTTATAGAATTTAAAGGAGTGAAAAAGGCCAACAATTAAACGTCATGTAGGCAAGGTTTCAGATTTCTACCATGAAATTAATTAGTTAAAATTGTGTTTAATTCAGAGCTTGCAAACGTTATAATAACGTTATGATTATAATATTATATTTGATAAAAAAACGATTGAAATTTGTAAACGTAATTATAACGGAAAATAATTAACATAAATAATTAAATACAAAACAAAACATAACGATTAACTAAATATATCATATATCATCTAACAAAACATAATGCAAAACGTTATGATGTATAGTACACCATTTAATGAAATGATTAATTTCCAATTATTTAACAATTTTAATTTATAAAATATATTAAAAATTTTAATCCTGAATAACGATAAACGCAAAAATTGAATAACGTTTAAATTTTAAATAACGATAAACTCAAAATTTGTATAACGTTTTAATTGTAAATAACGTATAACAACAATTTTTTTCTAATGCAATCCCTGGTTTAATTAAAACGTATTATTTTTTTTTTCGATTATACGACCAGGCTGATACATTAAATACAGGGCTTGACCGTACAACACCCCCGTCAGACATCACACAATATAATCATATTACACAATTCGATTTAAACAGATCTTCAAATGCTAAACGATTCCGTGTTTAGGTTTTTTATATATCCTACGCAATAGCCACGAGTACATTATTGGCTATTACCATAATAGCAAACTATTCAGCCAAACCA